CAATGAATATTCCAAAGTAACTTAAAAGAAGAGTTACAGTTTCAGAAATCCACAGGGAAAGCTCTACCCTGTCCTATAGGGTTGCTATGAGTTGGCATGGATCTGACGACAGTGAGTTAGTTTGTGTGTGTGTGTATATGCATATGTAGTAACGTTTATGATAGTAATACTTAGTACGTACTGAGCTTATGACCAAGTCAATCTGTTGATATTCCCTCCTAACATGTTGGCAGGTAGTCTGTATATTTATCTTGATTAAATTTCATATTGTAAACGTCAATCTATTATTATAGTCTATCATGATATTTGTATCCCATTTAATTAGATAGCATGCTTGCTGTGTACATTAAATTCATATCATCTAAATATTTGATCATGCTCTTTATATCATCAGTCAAACCATTAACAAAAATGTTCAACAGAGCAAAGCTGAGGGCACACCATTCTTAGAAAAGTCTCACTTGGATCAGCACTGAAGCCAAGTATGGAAAAATCTATGTGACTACTCTTGCATCTAATCCAGAATTTCTACATCAGTATATCATGAGATATTGTATGTGTTTCTGTTCCAATACATTATGTGTATGCTTTTTTAACTTCCAGAGGGTAGGAGCCATGCCTGTGTGGCTCACTGTTGTATCCTTATCATTTAGCACTGTGCCTAACACAGAGCAGGCCTTCAGCACAGTCTTGTTGAAGGAATATGTGAAATAAATAAAGAGTAAAGGTCATGGACTTTTATAAGGTCATATTCTTTTAATAAAGAATATGAACTAAGTTTGCAGAAGGCTATAGATGACCATGGGAGCCCAAGATACATTTATGGCAGTAGTTCTCAACCTAACTAATGCTGCGACCCTTTAATACAGTTCCTCATGTTGTGGTGATCCCCAACCATAAAATTATTTTTGTTACTATTTCATAACTGTAATTTTGCTACTGCTATGAATCATAATGTAAATATCTGATATGTAGGATATATTTTCTTTTTTGTGTGTGTTTCTTTCTTTTTAAAAAAAATCATTTTATTAGGAGCTCATACAACTCATCACAATCCATACATACATCAATTGTGTAAAGCACATTTGTACATTCATT